TAGATTTAGCGCCAAAATAAGCTGGCAGTGTGTCGACCATTTCGAGCGCTCGTCTCAACGAAACGCCCAATTTTCGGACGTCTGCCGCGACTCTATCGTCGTGTTGGGCGGCGTCGCGAGACTCGACAAACGACCAGTGCGTTCGGCTCACGGCCTCACCGAAGTCCGACCATTTGGCCACTATTTGGCCACCGGTTTGGCCGAACAGCAATACATTACCCCAATGGGCGTCACAGTGACAGATGCCCTTAGAGTGAAAGTACAGCATTCCTGTATATAAATGTATGATTAATTATAACAATTACATTAAAGTATCTAAAAAATTAATTATGACGTACCGGAGCACATGTGTCGCATAAAGTCCAGGGCGAGAGTGTCGGTGAGTTTTCTCGCCTGACCAAAGTCCATGAGTGAGCCGCAGTCGGCCAACTCCATGACCAGAAGCGTGCGGTCATAGCTAACAAAATCGTGGGGCCGGTAGTCCTGCAGCTCCTGTGCGCTCATCGATAGGAAATCGGGCGATGAGTCGGCGGTGGCGGCGACCGATGCTCTTACAACCGATCGCTGGCCGAAGCTTACGGCTAGTTTGTAGGACACAATGTACGGGTGATCGGCCAACACTTTCATACAGTGTTTCTCCAGCTCGTAGGCCAACCGCCGTTTGGGCGCCGACTGATCGCCAGTAAACTCCATATACTTACCCGCGTAGGGCTGACCCGTAATCACGGCCCGCAGATATTTGGCAGCTCTGCCGCCAATCCGAGTGAATTTACTGTTAAACCGGACCCGATATACCTCTCCATAACACCCGTCGCCCAGTGTCTCCCCTCTGTGGTAGTCCCGGACCGGCGGGAACTCCACCTCTATTCCCAATCGACGCAATTTATACAAATCCCTTACCGTCCGGTCCCGGAGTGTGCGGACCCGTTTGAACGCCCGGCCGCTGAACACTTTGGCCAACCCGTGTCCCAAACCCGACCCGAATACCTCTCGATCGCTACTCACGTGTAACTCACCCGAAGAACCCCCGGAGGGCTCGGATGGCTGCGACCGGAAAGCGTGCGCTCGGGCTCTGGGCGTCCAAAGTAACGGCTGTTCATCACTCGTCGCACTGGTGGTCGGCGACGGAGGAAACCAGTCCTCTATAGGAGGGGGTAAGTCAGTGAAGGGCTGTTGCGATTGAAATGATGGCTGTGTTTCCAGTGCCTGATTGAGCTCAGTTGGAGTCATGTCCAACAAACTGCCCCCATATGGCTGTGTCCGAGTGGGTACGGCTGCCCGCGGTGTGGATGTGGTGTCTGTTAGTCTACCCGTTGGCCGCCTGTACTCAGACATGTTTGTCTGATTGAGTTTGCAAACGGTGTCGAGTAATTAAAAATATATTATCCCTACTTATTATTATAACTATTGTTAATAAATTTAAAATACGGTAAAAATTTAAATTATATTTTATGTTTAAAAATTCTTAGAAAATTTCAAATTTAGTTCATTTAACAAAAATAGTTTTGAAAATACAATTAATATTAATAAAGATTATAAAATAAACAATTAATGATATAAAACATAACTGTGTTTTAAAGTTTGTTAATCAAAATTCATGCGGATATTAGCTGCCAGATGTCCGCCATCGGCCACCATAATAGTTCCCGTAATAAAACTAGCATGGTCACTGGCCAGGTAGGCAACAGTGTTGGCGATATCTAACGGCTCTCCACACCGGCTCACAGGGTATCGGCTCTTCACCCGTTCCCATAGGCTTTTAATTTGTTGTTCAGTCATTTTGCTGTCGCGAATGATTGCTGTGCGAATAGCACCGGGACTATGCAAATGTGACCATGATTAATTAATAGCATATACGTAAATACTTGTGTTTATTTTAAACAATGTATAAATACTTGACTGAATTAACACGAATGCCTTTTGGGCCCAAATCAACGGCAATACATTTGGTGAACATATCCAGAGCTGCTTTAGACATGTGATACGGAGATATGCCTCCACTCTATTGTAATTACATTTAATTCATACATAAATTAAATACATTTATAATTATACTCACAGACTGTATGTCAGCGATACTCGAGATGTTAATTATATTTACTTTAGTTTTCTCCAAATATTGTATTGATTTGTGGGTTAAATATATCACAGAATTAAGGTTTGTGTCAAACACTGCCTTTAATTTGGGAATATAGTCGGCATCAGTAATGGGAGCGTAGAATCCAATGCCCGCGTTATTCACCAAAATATCTAATTTACTAAAAGTTTTAATAGTAGTGTCGAGAAGTCGGTCGAGATCTTCCTCTTTGGTCACGTCTGCCACCACTGGAAGTGCTTTCAGACCTTTCAGACACTCTTTGCACACTTTGGACACATTATCGGCATTACGTCCAGTGATTACAACATTGGCACCACTTTTGGCCAATAGTAGAGCAGTTGCCGAACCGATTCCCGAAGACGAACCCGTTATTAACGCCACTTTTCCCGTGAAATCATAAGTTACAGACATATTATATGACATTTAATTTAAAATCTAAACTTTATTCAAAACTACAAATAATTGAGAACACGTTTAATAAAATAAAACTAAAATATAATTATATTTTAAGGTTGTATTAATTGATGAATTTATACAATATTAAAATGTGAATGCAATTATGATTTAATGTGTATTTACTTGAGTACAGGTTTTTATCATATCTTTACGGCTTATTGACTACATTTATGACTACGTTTACAATGCGTTGGATATAATGTAAAAGAATTACATAATATTATTCAAAAAATAAAAATTTAATTATAGTGTTTTCCAATTAATAATTATCTTATTAAATGTTAATGCAATTTATTTTATTCGTGGAATAACTAGATTATACTGTTATTTAAAAATTATAACTAATTAAAACATTTAGTGTTTTATTCAATAATACCGCCGACATTATAGATGAGTCCGCCATCGATGACAATCTCTTCGCCGGTCAGGAACTCGGCATCGATTGAGGCCAGGAATGCAACCCCTTTAGCGATGTCCAGGGGTTGACCCATGCGTTTGAGGGGCGCGTTATGGAGAGCCCTTTCCCTTATCTTTACAATAATAGGCACTTTACTGTCGCGGAAACTGGCAGTCAGTATAGCGCCCGGACTGTCACCAAAATGAGTAAAAATATATTCTTAAATAATTTTTATCATAATCACCTTAATGTGTTAACACGAATGTATGGGCCCAACTCCATAGCCATCACTCGGGTCATCATATTCATGGCCTCTTTGGCCATCGAGTAATCCATACCATAGTTATTCTGTGGTTGAAATAATGCAAAAAAGTATTAAATAAAATACAATATAATTTGTTGTTTATTAGCCATACGGGTGCGTGAGTACACATACTGGAGATGTGTATAATTGTGCCGTTGGTTTGATTAAGGTAAGGCACGGCCAAACGGTTGAGCTCAACCACTGCCCGCAGGTCTATACTGAAGACACTGTCGTATGATTTCATAAAGTCTTTGTCCATCAACTGAGCTATTGATCCGATGCCCGCGTTATTCACCAAAACGTCGAGTTTTCCGTACGTTTTGATCGTTTCGTTCAACAGAAACTGCATTTCACTAGTTTTGGTCAAATCGGCCTTTATTTTCAATGGCTGTCAAAAAATTGACCATGGTTATTGTAAATATGTTTTTATAACGTCTTATACATCATACAATTACAATTTAATTTGCAACTTTTAATTAATAAAATAAAACTATAGATGATTACTTTTAAATGGTGGGGCGACAACTGCTCCACCTCTTTGGCCACGATGTCGATCTCGGTTTGGTTACGTCCGGTGACGACCACATGTGCGCCGAGTATTGCAAACAGTTTGACAATACCCTCTCCGATGCCGGACGACGAGCCGGTCGTCAAAACTACTTTTCCCGTGAAATTTCGCGACTCTTTTACTTTCATATAGTCTTCAATACTGTAGTCATAATGTTTGGCCTCGATTTGAGCGCCGCTAACCATTGCCACCACTGATAGTACGTATAGAAAATGCATGTTTGTAACAATTGTAAATGTTTGTTGGTAGTTTTTTCTATTTTAATAATTTAGACATAAATTATTATTAATAATAACTGTTTATTAGTTATGGTTTTTAACTTATTGAATGTTTGTAAGTCGTGTCCTACTTATATATAAAATTAAGAAGCAAACCTTTTATCATGTAACTTTACAATCTCTTTTAGTTCTCACTTTTATTTGGTCTCAGTCACTAAACTATAGACTTCTCAAAAATTTCGCGAAGTTATATAACTAGCATTGACAGTGCATTGAATCTGTTTATCGCTCATATGTCTGGCTACTCACACCACTGCTCAGTAGTGCTGTTTATCGCTTACAGTCAGTATTGCATAACTTCGCGAAAATATTGAGAACAGTTTAAACATGTTGATAATTATAATAATCCCCGAGATTAATCGTGTTACCTATTTAATCGGGATACAAATGTTCTTTATCACGAATTAAGCATTTAATTTTTATTAAGGTAAATGAACTTTATATAATAGTATCATAGTATGCAGGGGAGATTTTGATGTTCTTTCAACACCAATAATTATTATAATCTGTATCATTGATTTAGGTTAATGTCCATTGTTATTGATTACCACTATCAATAAACCTTGAAATGTACACCATGTACTAATCATTTACACAATTGTTCGTGTGTATTTTTTGACAGTGCGTTTTATTACAATAATTTATTTGTTAGCATCACATTTAAACACTATTAATAGTAGATTAAATACAAACCTAAAAATCGCAAATATTTCTTTAAAACTCGTTTACTAATGGAATAATTTAATAATTATTATAATCAGTTGTAGTTAATAGAATTAGTTAAAATATAATAATCATTTACAATTCATAGAATTATTATAATCTTAATAATTATAATTTTGAAAATAAATAATAAATAAAAATAAACATAATAAATGATGTGATAATTCACACAATAGTGTAATGAATGCTATGATTAAAGCCGAGACCAACGCATAGAAAAACACGTGAATATCAATGAGTTTTAATGTTTGAAATGTTGACGGATTTGTTGTGTCCATCCATTCATTCACATTATTATCATTACTACTAGTATTTAATTTTACAATAATTTCAATTGCATTATAAAACCTTTTGAATTTTCTTATGGGTAATAATAATCCCATTTCGGCCACTATTATAAACCTATAAAGTAATATACAAATAAGATTAATATTATTTAGTTAATTAAGTTTTAATAATCTGTTATTTTACTTTTGTCTAAATAATTGTTTAATCTTATAATCGAGCCGTTTGTTTACTAATAGCCCACCGATTGCTAGCATTGAGTTATCGCTGCTCTGTCTTAAAGGTATGGATGGAAAGCTTTTAATGATGTAATTAATATATCTTTCCGATAAAATATATACGGCTTTTCCAGTAATAACATGTTTTAGTATATTATATTTATTCGAGCGGATAATATGAGGAGATATAAATTTATAAATTAATCTTGGTTGTTTAATCTATTAGCCAATAAAAATTATTTATTTTAGTGTTGATAAATACAACATAATAAAATCAATATTACCTTTAAACATTCCTTGTAAACAAAAGTAAACCTATTTACATAAACCTGTATATCCCTGGCGTCAACAATGTCCTGAATGCTATTTATTGAACGTTTCGGTACATTCGCTAAATTGGATAGAAATTCATTGACAAATAATTGGTCCCAAAATAAGCAGTTTGTAAACCAAAGGGTAAATGCGACTGCTGCCAAAGTTGTGTTTCTTAAATATTTGCTTATCCTAGCTAAAATAAAAATACCTGCTATTATTTATAGTAATATTAAATAGATATAAGTTATATATGTCATATAACATACCTCGCCCAACTATTGCTAATATATGATCTTGTACAATGCAAATTATAACATTATTTAAGTCAATCCTTTGATTTGAACGATTAAAATATCTACTGACTGATAACGTAATTGTTATGACTAAACTAATAATGAATATAATTAATATTGTAGCCCATATATAAATGTTAAATGAATTAAGCAAGGACAATTGTCCGTATTGTCCAGTCACTAGATAATATAGTTAACAAGTTGGTTACTAAACTTGGATAAATGAGCTCGCTACTAACAGATCTATTTATTGAATAAATATATGAGCCACCAATAAAATCAGCTTTCTGTATACCAATTAAATTAATTATATTAAAATAAACTAAAGTAAAAAGGTTAATTTTTACATCATAATATAGCGCTGCCATAGCTTCGATTAAAGTTTTATTGTTTGAGTTCGTGGGTATGAATTGTACACTATATGTATATTATAATGTATAATTATATATTGATTATCTTATTTTAGAATATTTATTTATTAACAAATATATAATTACCCGCATTTCATGTATTTATGTAATATCTCAGTAATAAACAACATTTTATCGCAAATGATATACAAATTATTATTAAATCCATGACTCTATAAATTCATGATCATTAATATTGTTATAAAATAAATATAATTTATAGCATACAAATAATTTTGGAACAGTAACTCTGACAGTACAATTAGACCCAGGTGGTTGGTTTAAATCAGTTATGTTTGAAAAGTATACGCAACGATTATCCATGATGGTAGTTTAATAGAAATGAGATAGATAGTTTTATACAAAGTACTTTTCACCAAAATATTTTGTCTAAACTTGTTACAATATAACGTTGTAATCAAGTTATATTTAATAGCTATATAATCAAGTAATTATATATTAATTTATTGTATCGATATTAAACATATACAAATGTTGTAAAGTTTTATGTTTATTAATACATACAAAACATTGTAATACATATACAAATAATGTATGTATATTACATTGTTATTGATTTACTTATTATAATTAAATAGAAATATAATAAATCATTTGTATTGATTGGTTTTTATGTGAGATTAATGTTTATCTACTTTTTGCATGTGTTTATTATTTGCACAACAAAGTTAATAATTGCATTAAAATATGGATAAAACATTAGTTGTAATGAATGTGTTGATAAAATATATGCAACTAATATTTGCAAAATATTTTAATAGTTTTCAAAATAAATATTAATTATAATTAAAAACAATAAATGATGTGATAATTCACACAATAGTGTAATGAATGCTATGATTAAAGCCGAGACCAACGCACCTGGGTCTAATTG